TTGTGGAGTTTGAAATTGCAAAAACCAAATGCAAAACAAAAGCATGGGTTTTGTGTCTTTTCTTTGCATTTGTGATACGTTTAGGTATCAGTGACATGCAATGTGTGATCATGGAATAGAATATGGAGTGACATGGTATGTGTGATCATGGAATAGAATACTGACTGACATGGTATGTGTGATCATGGAATGGAATACTGACTGACATGGTATGTGTGATCATGGAATGGAATACTGACTGACATGGTATCTGTGATCGTGGAATAGAATACTGAGTGACATGGTATGTGTGATTGAGGAATAGAATATTGAGTAACATGGTATGTGTGATCATGGAATAGAATACTGAGTGACATGGTATGTGTGATCATGGAATAGAATACTGACTGACATGGTATGTGTGATCATGGAATAGAATACTGACTGACATGGTATGTGTGATAATGGAATGGAATACTGACTGACATGGTATGTGTGATAATGGAATGGAATACTGACTGACATGGTATGTGTGATCATGGAATAGAATACTGACTGACATGGTATGTGTGATCATGGAATGGAATACTGTGACATGGTATGTGTGATCATGAAATAGAATACTGAGTGACATGGTATGTGTGATCATGGTATGGATATGAGAATACTGAGTGACATGGTATGTGTGATCATGGAATAGAATACTGAGTGACATGGTATGTGTGATCGTGGAATGAATACTGAGTGACATGGTATGTGTGATCATGGATATGGGAATACTGACTGACATGGTATGTGTGATCATGGAATAGGAATACTGGAATACTGACATGGTATGTGTGATCGTGGAATAGGAAATACTGAATAGTGACATGTGATATGAATAGTGATCATGGTATGTCATGAATAGAATACTGAGTGACATGGTATGTGTGATCATGGAATGGAATACTGAGTGACATGGTATGTGTGATCAGTGGAAATGAGAATACTGACTGACATGGTATGTGTGATCATGGAATAGAATATAGAATATCTGACTGACATGGTATGTGTGATCGTGGAATAGAATACTGAGTGACATGTGGATCATGAATGTGATGACATGTCTTTTAACAGGGGGCCATAGTCCAAAGGCAGCAGGCGAGCAACCAGGCTTCTCCAATGCAATGTGGCGAGATTGGTCTCGTCACATCTCTCCCCTTTTCCAAACAGACTAACAGGTTATCTGACCTCCTGCCGGTCAGTGCCCTTGTTAGTCCAGCAGCCCACCCACAACAAATAATCAGCAGCACAGCCCACCCACAATAAATGGTTACTACACCTGGGTAAAGGAGAAGCTTGTCCATGTCCAGGTGCCTCACCACGGCTGTGCTGGGTACGGGTACGCTGACTTGGTGGGTTGCTGCGTGGGCAGAGACCAGCGGCACTCTGCCCTGTTGCCAGCGCTACTGGGAGGGTAGCCTGGTGGAAGCCTGGTTGTTGGAGGGGGAGGCCGACTGTCTCCCCTTTAAATACACCGCTCTGCTGCTGCTGCTGGAGACTGACTGTCTCCCCTTTAGATGCACAGTCCTGCTGCTGGAGACCGACCGTCTCCCCTTTGGTTACCCATCTCTGCTGCTGGAGGGGGAGACCGACTATCTCCCCTTTGGCTAAACAGCCCTGTCGCTGGGGGGCAGGACCGACCGTCCCTACCCCCTGTGCTGGCAGTGTAGAGACTACGGTCCCATCTGCACGGTTGTGGGGCTTACTGTCTCCCCCTGGTACATTAAGCTGCCGCTGGGGAGATGGGGTAACATGCTCCTCTCTCATACATACTTCCAGCTGCGGGGAAGGGAGACCGACTGTCTCTGCTCCCAATACAGAGTCCTGCTGCTGGGGAAAGGAAACTGGGCTCTCTATTCCCGGTAGGACACTCTGCCGCTGGGGAATGGAGACGGGGCTCCCAATTCCCAATAATCTGTGCTGCCGCTGGGGAATGGAGACTGGGCTCCCAATTCCCAAAACATCATACTGCCGCTGGGGAATGGAGACTGGGCTCCCAATTCCCCAAAAATCACGCTGCCGCTGGGGAGGGAGGACACTGCTCTCCTCTCCCTGGACTTCACACTGCCTTCCCGGCATATCACTTGGCTGCTGGGGGCAGGAACAACTACCTCTGCCCCCTGTAGCTCAGCCTTACGCTGGGGAGGGAGGACACTGCTCTCCTCTCCCTGTACTTCACACTGCCTTCCCGGCATATCACTCTGCTGCTGGGGGGCAGGAACAACTACCTCTGCCCCCTGTAACTCAGCCTGCCGCTGGGGAGGGAGGATGCTGCTCTCCTCTCCCTGCACTTTACACTGCCGCTGGGGAATGGAGACTGGGATCCCAATTCCCTGCAGGACCGGTGGAGAGACCTCGGTCCCATCTCCACCGGCCACCTGGGGTTCTTCCCAGTAAAACTGTACCATCTCGTCCCCTCTGAATGGGTCTGGCTCTGTCATGCTGCTCTCCTGCTGAGCCTTCTCACTGTATTGGAACAGCTGCTGGTAGCCCTGTTCTAGCTCCATCTCCCGGGTTACCAGGTGGACCAGGTCTTGCTCAATTTTGTGAGCGTCGTCCCAGTCATACCTGCTCTCCCTCCACTCCCAGAGATCACTGAACCGGGCTTGTGTAGGGCCCCCAAATTCGAGCTCTGAAAACGACTCCCATAACAAGCCAGGACCATCAAACTCCTCTCCCTCTGGCTTGTCATGCTCGGCTGTCCAGGGTAGGTACTGTGCCCCATGCCACCAGAGCGCCTGGTAGGCATCTTCTAGCCACAACTCCTGCCATACTAGGTGTTCCAATTTCCTCACCCATTCCTCCAGGGGCTGCTCTCCCAGGAAGGGCATCCGCAGGGCTACTCGCTTCTGCAACCGCTGGTCTTCCTTGAGGAGTCTCTCGCCCCGCCGGTACTCCACAATACCCAGTGCCTGGTACCAGATGCCTTTACGGACTAAATCTCGGTCATCCATGGCACCCTCGTCATACTCCACTGCTGGTTCCATCTCGGTGCTGTCAGGGTCGCTGTACTGGGACATGTACTGAGTGACATGGTATGTGTGATCATGGAATGGAATATGGAGTGACATCATATGTGTGATCATGGAATAGAACATGGAGCGACAAGGTATGATATCATGGAATGGAATATCGAAGAGGCAAATTTAGGATGAAGCAAATAATCATGAGGTTAAATCAATCAAGTTTAAATAACTATCAAGCTAAAAAGAGGAAACCCTTGAATGTCTATGTCATGGGAACCGGTGTATTGTATTGTATGGAGAAAGTGTTTTTTCTTGTTACTTCCTTGTAGCTATAAACTAGAATAAAAATACAGCTTCCCTGAGCTTTTACACTTATCTTGCCAGACGATGTCAGCGAGTGCACTGTGTACATATAAAGATGCCTCGAATTGTAAAGTCAATGTGAGAATGTATCATTAAATCCCTTTTGACGTCTCTTCTTGGCCTCGGGATCATACCACACTTTGATTATGCGGTGAGCTGTGGCTTTGCTACTTTGCTTTTATTGCTTTGACCATTTTCCTTTAAACTCTGTGCAGGCCTACAATGATTTTTAAATACACAAAAATAAGATCTCTGCCTTGTGTTCCCACACATTGGTTCATACAGCAATCAGTACAAACATATAGCAATGAGAAAAAAAACATTGTTAAAACCTTACAGAATGGATAAGCACCATCACTAGTAAATCCGTGACAGGGCCCGTTTATTATTCCATGCCCTAGAGGTCTTATTCCAGGAAGAGCACTTTAGACTCATGATCAGGCCACCATTTAAATCCACTTTACCATCTGTGTTTATCATTCTCATGTCTTATTCTAATGTAAACTCTCAAGGTGATCAATACCCCCAGAAGACTGCAAGAGTAGTGCCTATCCATAAAAGCGGTGACATTACTTTGGTTTCTAACTATCCCAAATATCATTGCTCCCAGTATGGTCAAAAATCTTAGAAAAATGTGTCCACATGCAACTATGTGAGTATTACCAGCAATCTAACTATCTGACCCCTGATCGAGCAGGTTTTCGCCCAAATCACTGCACTACAACTGACATTTAAAAGTTTGCAAAGACATCCAAACTGGCATGGAACAAGGAGCCCTAACTGGAGCTATTTTCCTTGATTTTGTAAAGGCCTGTGACACAGTAGACCACGACATTCTACTGCACAAACTAAAAAACTCTGGCATTGGTGATCATCCGCTAACCTGGTTTTTCGATCATATGTATCGAATCGCTCACAATATGTGTCCATTTCTGACAGTGACTCCCTCCCTCTCCCAGTCACGTGTGGTGTTCCCCAAGGTTCCATTTCCGGACACATACTATTCTCATTATTTATAAATGATCTGCCTATTGTCTGCAAATCCTTAAATGTACACATGTACGCAGACGACACAGTGATCTATGCAAGCAAATCCGATCTACAGCAGCTTGAGGCTGTGCTCCAAGACCAGTTTACAGAGGTAGAAAAACCAAACTCCTAAACACTTACAAAACTTTCACAAGATCTTTGGAACAGTACCTAAATTACACAAATTACACAATTCCCACCTATCCATCAAAACAAAATCAAATAGCACACTGACCGCAGTCCACTCTTTCAAATACTCGGGTATGTTGTTAGACCCCAATCTATCTTTTGGCATAGAAAAACTTGCATCTACACTTTATCCAAAACTAGGTGCCCTGTACAGAAACAAATCCTGCCTAAGCCCTACAGTAAAGGAAAAGATTGTACAGCAAATGCTGATGCCAATCATTGATAATGGGGATGTAGTATATGCACTTGCACCGCAAACTCACCTTTATAAACATAATACATTGTATAACTCATTCTGCCGATTTGTGCTACAATGTAATTACAGGACCCACCATTGTGACATGCTAAAAGAACTAAACTGGTTGTCACTGGAATCCAGATGCACCCTTCATCTTTCCAGCCTTGTGTTTAAGAGCTTTTCTGGGAAACTCCCACCCTACCTGAAAAAAATACTCTTTCGGCTGTTCCCACCTCCTATAACCTCCGATCCAGTACTAGCACTTTATTTAGTCTACCTCAACACAAAAAAAAAAGCAGCCCGATGCTCCTTCTCCTACAGAGTGCCACAATTGTGGAACGACCTCCTTAACACTTTCAAATCTTCCCCAAGCCTAAAGTCCTTTAAGAGATCCCTCACTACATACCTCAAAACAGAATGCACCTGTCATGGTTGATTATATATTTCCTACCTGTTCTATGTTAAATTTTGTATTTATTGTGTATTAATATTGTTTTTGTATTTTATTGTATCCTATTGTATCAATGCAATGTTTTGTGGACACTGGACATACTTGAAAATGAGAGAAATCTCAATGTATCTTTCCTGGTAAAATATTTTATAAATAATAAATAAATATAAGCCTTCAATGTATTTCTTACTAAAACACACATAAATACAAATTCATAAAATGAAATCAAGATTTAGTTTTAGCAGAGAATGCACAAGACATTAAAAAAAGAATATGTTTATCAGGAGTGTAAAACAATTGATTTACAATGCCTGAATTGAAGATCCTGTGTTCCTCGTGTTTCTAAGTCTAACTGTAGAGCATATTAGCTATATTGTAACTATAACTCAATTTACAAACTGGGCAGTAAAAGTCTTATGTGAATATCTTATTTAACAAGTCACTGCAGAGTTTTAATTCAAGCAGGGTTTTAAAGCTGACTTTAAAGGAGGTTATACCTAGTTAGCTCCAAGACTGGCCTTAGGAAGAGAACCCTTAATGACCCTGTGCCAACCAAATTAATTTAATAATTTCAGAGAGCGATTCTTGGATAATTCATCACAGGCAGTTGAGTGTCCATGCAAACCAGCAGAGGGTACATGATATTAGTCTACAAATTGAATAAACATAAATATAACATCAAATTAATAAAAGAGCTGTGTCTTGTAGTAAAACAAATATAAATTCATTCATACTGTAAAATGAATATGTCTACAAAGTTATCTTTACTTAACATCAGAGCACAAAACACTTTTGAGAAAAGAAAAAATTATAATATGAAAAATGCATATACTTTAAAAATATTTAAAAATGTTGTTGATTTTTTTTAATTAATACCTCTGTAGTGTTGTATTGCACTCATTGCTGTCTGCATAGGTTTTTTTTTTTAAATGTTTTCTATAAAAATATATATGATAAGAATATATTTATATTTTTGTGGTATTCTTCCAATTGAAATAGGAAATGCTTACAAATATGTATTCTTGACCCTATTGTGTTAAAACCACCCTTTGCCCCCTCCCCCCCTCGACTACTCCTTGCCCCCTAAATATATACAAGATCTTACTTGTATCAATGGCAGAGCCAACCACAGCCCTAGCCAATCAGTATCTCATCATAGAGATGTATTGAATCAATGCATCTCTATGCAGAAACTTCAGTCACACTGACACGAAATGTCAGTCACACTGTGCAGCACTACCCCAGGAAGCCATCCAAGGAGTAGCCAGAGGAGGTATCCCTTCCTTACGAACTCTCCTGTACTCTGCAATCTCCTGTGACAGAAAGTTTGTTTTTTGTTAAAAATTTTGGTGAAAAGAACATGAACTGCTCATTTGCTGAATTATATATGAAAACATCTTTTTGGCTTGCAGGAGATTCAATATGCAGGAATATCTGCTGGAAAATAAGAATGAGAGACAACTATTAAAATGCAATTTTTTCACTTTGTAAAAAGTCTTGATATCATATGGTTGACTTTTAAGTGAAAAGATCGTGTGCTTGTGTCTCAATCAGACACAACTTTGAATAATATCTTGCAGTAGTAACCCCAAGCATAGCTAGCCTTTTAAGGTTTTTACTGACACTTACCTATCAAGATAAACACAGCATAAAACTATGCTTAAAGGCACACTTTAGGAACCCGGATCACTTTGTATTTTAGAGATATGGCACTGTTTAAATTGCAGGGCTAAACACACCTCTTGTGGCAATCTCAATCACAAAATGTTGCTTCTCCACCCACAGCTAAGTCAGACTTGGGTTTTTGTGTTCTATGTCCTCACACAGTGCATTAATATATCTAACGTCCTTGGATGCTTCTTATAAAGCATCTCTATGAGAAATATTTGGTAAAACAGGTCATTTTTGTGCATACGCATTAAGTCCACTGTGCTCTATGAGTAGCACTGGATTGAACTTCAAAGCTGGATTCCCTCCATTTGGGGCAATAGAAATATAATGTTCTTGAACGCTATAAAGTGTGCCTTTAAACTGCTAATATTTCACTTCTGTCATTCTTGTCAATAATATATTACGTCAATGGCATGTCAATGAGGGTTTTAACAGCTGTCAATGCTCACTATATATCTTGATTCATGAAACTGCACGGCCTACCACAGATGACTCTGATACAACATTTCAGCTCTTAAAGAGATAGAATGATCATTATGAGCATTACCTCTCCAAATTTGGTGACAGTCACATGTCAAAATCACAAAGTTCTTTACTGAACCCATCTCATGGTATTTAATACAGACAAGGCTTATTCAAATTTGGTGCCTTTGAACTGCTAAAATCCTGAAGTTCTTTATTGAATTTAACTCTATACTAAAAAACAATGCTAGTTTCATCAAATCAAAAGTTCCATTAATGTCTTGGGATTCAATTATTTGTAAAATCTATTGTTATGTCTTTCCTGCTAGTAGACTTCAAGAAATAGCCTCACATGTGCAAACAACAAGGTTGTTAGAAGTAAGATACAGACTCCCAACGGAGATGCGTGAGGCTATTCTAGTAAGAGAATCAAAGACCATATGGAATGAAGAGACAGGTTCATTAAACAAAATAAAAACAGAGATTATGTGTGTGTTTTACAGCCAAATTCTATTTGCCTGCTATCAAATTATATGGTATTATTTTATTGTTTTATTGATTAACATAAAAGAAACGTTAAAAAAAAATTTAAACCGTGACTCAAAAGATCAATAATGCTACTTTTATGAAATACGTCATTACAGCAGGAACATGGAGTTGCTGTAGAAATGTGTTAGATGTATTGCCATCTAATCAATAAAAACAGACTGTATGAATAAGCATATTCGTGTTACACAATGATAAGAACATATTAAGTCTTATTCCTGCTATAAAAAGAGATGCGATTGGAGGAGCTACATTGTCTGACTAAACCACTGTCTACCAGAAAACATCGGGAATCGCTCTTACTAAAGATTATTTTTTTTATCAGGGATCATTCTGAATGAAGGATGCATTTATTAATTTATAGGGTCTGACAAAGTCAGCTGCTGTCTGGCTAACCATTAAAGGCATACTCCAAGCACTGACTGATTTAATGATTTGAAGTGGTCACAGTGCCTGGAGTCTTTATATCCAGCACTACACATATGGAATTTGAAACCTTTTGCTCTGGAGGTGTACCTCTACTTCTGACAGTGTCATTGGGGCTTCATTAGCCAGTCCAGGATAAGAGTTTCAGGTTAGGTAATATCAATACTGTGCATATTCCTTTGCACAGCATCAGCTGACGCTCTCAGCCAATGAATGGCCGGCAGGATTGACTTCCAGCATATGCAGCTCTGCAGAAGGTGGATTTCATCAGTGACCACTAGAAGACCCGTGGGGCACACCAGGGACACAGGTAAGAGGGAAACCTATATTTTACTACCAGGACACAGGGCCATCATGATTACTACAATGGGCTATACTGATTACGATGCATGTAGTAACCCTTTAAAGTAAACCTGTCATACCAGAAATATGTTTCCAGTTTTCTTCCCATTTGACTTGACTCAAGTTATACAATTAAGTGCTTCTTCCTTTCATATGGATAAAAGCTCATCTTTTCATTTATTTCCATTACTGTCTCCTGTTGTTACACTTGCTGTAAGACACTCCTCTCCTGCTAATCCCTGTTTGGGAAGTACTAATATGCTTCCCATAAAAGGTTAAAAATACTCCTCACTTTATTTTTGCTTTGTGCAAATAAAACATGTCTGTTCACCCTCTCTCCATTGTCAGATTGTTTGTCGAAAGCTGCTGCAATAAATCATTCTGTTTTTTTCTCTCCTCTCTCTGTGCTTCTTTCACACAGAGCCTGCCCCTTATCCTTCCTTCCCCTTGCAGGCATTTCTTGGCATTTCTTTCCTTTACACTGAATTCAAGCAGGAGAGAGAGGCCAAGAAGTGGGAAAGTGCATGTCTAATAACAGACATGCAGAGCACAGCCTTCTTACATCTGTGCTGATTGGCACAAGATCAGCACACTCCGAATTAACTGACAGGATGGGAGGAGAAGCAAGGCTGTTTTTAATCTCTGTCACAGCACCAGGGGGAATTTTTATTTATGGCCCCCACCCACTGCTCAGGGGTGGGGCCGGGGGGAGGACATTAGGTCTCCCCCCATATTGTTATTTAGGGCTCCCACCCGCCGTGCAGGGGTGGGGGCCGGTGGGAAGGACATTAGGTCCCCCTTATTGTTATTTAGGGCCCCCACCCGCCACACAGGGGTGGGGGCCCAGGGGAGGACAGTAGGTTCCCCCCCTTATTGTTATGAAGGGCCCCCATACGCCGCGCAGGGGTGGGGACGGGGGGAGGACTTTAGGTCCCCACCCCCAATTTTTATTTATGGCCCCCACCCACCGCTCAGGGGTGGGGGATGGGGGGGATGACAGTAGGTCCCCCCTCCACATTCTTATTTAGGGCTCCCACCCATCGCACAGGGATGGGAGCAATAGTTCTTTTTTTGTTTGTTTTTTCAGTGAGCAGCCAATGGCTGCTTACTGATTACTAGACACGCCCCTACTCGCGGTATAGCGAGTAGGGGCTGAATTTACTAATACTAAGTAATCTTTCCTTAGTATTAGTAAATGTGGCTGAAAGACCAAGTTAGGTAACCAATTTAGGTCTTTCAGCCTTTTGGTAGATAGCTCCCTAATACCGTGTGAATTAGGGAGTTATCTACTAAGCGGCTGCTTATTTTTTGTTATTTTTAAGTGATTTCCCTATCCACATTTGTCTGCAGGGCACTTGTCCTACTCTTACCCCCATTTTACTTCCTTTTGCAGCCCTCTAACCCTTTCCAGGAGTTTTTTAGAGCTATTTTTGTGCCCAAAAGTTTGGGTCCCCATTGACTTCAATAGGGTTTGGGGTCAAGTTCGGGGTCAAGTTCGA